CAGGATCAATCAATGGCTGCCGTGTCACTGTGGGATTAGTGGTAACCACATCACCGATAACGCTGCCCGATGTGCCCATGAGGAAGCGCCCACACTGCTCACACCCTTGTTTGGGTTGACGCCGCAAGAGAACTTGCCACATCATGCATAATGCCACACTTATGCATTGATATCTTCCACTGAAGTCTACTCAATGCCCACAGAACCTTGCTTCGTTACTTCAATTACAACTGCCATAAAATTTCGCGTCGAGATACCACATTGCTTCGTCGGTTGTGTATTGGCGTTGCCTTTACCGGTTCATGCAGTTATCGCATTTTGTGTGGCTGACTCTTCTAACTGTGATAACTCTCATTGCGTAGAAACTGTCGACCATGTGCCATTGTCCAGACTTTGAAGAACATCGCCGAAGTCCCCAGTGTGCCTTGAGAAGACTGGATGATAGACCCTTTACTCTGGGTAAGATTTTGGGTGTGGGGCCTTCAAGTATATCAGCCCAGAAAGCCATGCAAGCCATTCTACGATTCTTGGGGGCAAAATGAGTGTGTGAATGCCTCTAAAACCTTAATTGTGGTGTGGTGTGCGTGTTACGTGCAATGTGTATCTGCTACTCCTCTCTCTCTTTTCCCCCTATTTCCATCTATCTCGTGTAGGGTAGAAAACTGGATTCAGTCTAGTTAACCTGCCTACCTTACTAATATTAGTTCTCTCTCTCTCGAGTGTGTATCTTTTGCAAAAAAAAAAACGTTTGAAGTGGCACAAGGACCGAATTTTTATGTTTATGAAGAGATTTAAAGTGTTTACGACGCTGAACGAATCTGTGCATATCACTGCACGTTGCAGTTTCAATTCTTTGATTTATTTAACGGCTATAAGTATCGCGCTACCTATTGCAGTAAGAATGCTTCAATTATTGTGCAGAATTACATAAAAGATCATTCGGCAAAATCACACGAAATGAGCTCTTAAACGGGCCTGTGCTGTCGTATGCCGTAAGCGACGTCATTAACGCGTCACGTCGCTCGGCGACTCGTTAGCAAAAGAATGTATAGCATAGCAATCTACCACTATGGTTAGGGATGAATATAGAAGAGAAGCTGGGGAGGAGCGATTTGAGGGTAATAAGGAGGCACAGGAGCGTGGGTCGGGGAGGAGGCAATATGTTATTGAATGTTGTCCTCTTATGTCAATGGTAGGCGTTACGTTGGCGAAACCAAGTAAACGATAGCTAAATATTGTGCGGGACAGTAAGGGTTCGTGGAAAAAAGGAGGCTCCGGGGGAGTGCCGGAGAGGAGGCAAATTGATGAAGCATGGCATAGACCTGTGTAGTGGTTTAAAACAGGGGGTGCGAAAAGGAAACGAGAGAGAGAGAAAGATGCGAAAAGAATCATCATCATCATCATCAGCCTGACTACGTTCACTGCAGGACAAAGGCCTCTCCCATGTTCCGTCGGTTAACCTGATCCTGTGCTTGCTGCTGACAATGTATACCCGCGAACTTCTTAATCTCATCTATCCACCTAACCTTCTGTCTCCCCCTAACTCGCTTCCCTTCACTGGGAATCCAGTTAGTTACCCTTAATGACCAGCGGTTATCCTGTTTACGCGCTACATGCCCGGCCCATGTCCATTTTCTCTTCTTGATTTCAACTAAGATATCCTTAACCTCCGTTTGTTCTCTAATCCACTCTGCTCTCTTCTTGTCTCTTATGGTTACACCTACCATTTTTCTTTCCATTCCTCACTGCGTCGTCCTCAATTTAAGCTGAACCCTCTTTGTAAGTCTCCTGGTTTCTGCTCTGTGGCTAAGTACCGGCAAGATACAGCTGTTATATACCTTCCTCTTGAGGGATAGTGGTAATCGACCTGTCACAAATTTAGAGTGCTTGCCAAATGTGCTCCAACCCATTCTTGTTCTTCTAGTTACTTCAATCTCGGGGTTTGGCTCCGCGGTTATTACTTGCCCTAAGTAGACATAGTAATTGTACAACTTGAAGTGCACTAATACCTATCTCGAAGCGCTGCTTTTTTCCGAGGTTGTACATTACTTTCGTTTTCTGCATATAAATTTTAAGACCCACCTTTCTGGTTTCCTTGTCTAACTCCGTAATCATGAGTTGCAATTCGTTCCCTGAGTTAGTCAGCAATTCAATGTGATAGACGAAGCGCAGGTTACTAAGGTACTTTCCATTAACTCTTATCCCTAACTGTTCCCATTTTAGGCTTCCGAAAACCTCCTGTAAGCACGCGGTAAATAGCATTAGGGAGATTGTGCCCCTCTGCCTTACACCCTTCTTGATTGGTATTCTGTTGCTTTCTTTATGAAGCACTGTGGTAGCAGTTGATCCCCTGTAGAGTTCTTGCAGGATGTTTATATATGCTTCATCGACGCCCTGATTCCGCAGTGTCTGCATGACGGATATTTCTACTGAATCAAACGCCTTTTCGTAATCTATGAAGGCTATATATTGCAGTTTGTTATATTCTGAGTATTTCTTCATTGCCCGATTCACAGTATGAGTGTGGTCGATTGTTGAGTAGCCTGTTCGAAATCATGCTTGCTCCTTTCGTTGATTGAATTCTAATGCTTTCTTCACTCTGTTAGCAATTACCTTTGTTACAAAACCACGTAGAGTATACAATTAAAAGCGGTTAGGAAAAGGAATGTGAGGGTGAGCAGAAACTTGATGAGGAGGAAGCAGAAAACGGAGGGCAGAGCAAGGCAGGTAATGTCCCCTGCACTGCAACAAAATAAGGGGAGGAGGACTGATGTGAGAATGGGGCAAAGTAGAGGGACAGTGAAGCCTAGCACAATCATGTACGGTACAGTATAGAAAGCGGGGGAAGGGAATTGAGGGCGGAGAGAGGGGAAGGAGTTGGAGAGTGCAGCAGAGCATAGTAGTGTAGTACAGAAAAGAAGGAGAGGAGGCGGGAGAGGTAAAGCGTGGAATAGGTTTGTATGGCATAACCTTGTATGGTATAGCGTTGGATAGCATAGCTTTTTTAGTATAGTATAAAGAGGAGGTGGAAAAGAGCAGTGTGGGTGAAGATGAGGCAGAGGAAGATGACAGAGGGCGACACTGTACTGTGTGCGAAAAAGTTTGTCCCGTCATGGATGCTGAACAGGCTGCACGTTGTGAACGTCGGGGCACGTTTTGACGTAAACGCGGGTGGCAAAAAGGACAAGGTTAATCACTGCTCCCCACCGCCTGCACCTTTCACGTTAAGTGCAGCTGCATATATTCTAATATTTCAGTTTCCAACTACATATGTAAGAGGTGGAAGCGATAGAACAATCTAGAGAATAAAATTAATGTCATCGTGGTATGGTATTCTTGTTGAAAGCTTTAGCAAATAGTATAGGAACAGCATGAGGGGGACAACGCAAAAGATGTGCACGTTTTGTGTATTGTTTGGCGAACTCATGAAACGCCTGATCAATGAAGGCTTAAATATGTAACTCAATTATGTAAGTCATCGTATTTTACGCACTCAAACACATACGGCACTATCGTCGGTGACAGCCTGAGAATAAATATAGGCTCCACTTACAATACCGCATTGCCCATATTTCGCATGCTTCCTCCAAGTTCATACTTCACGCAGCAGAAACGACAGCACGCAATAAACCATTCAGAAATACTGCAACCTGCGGCCGTTTCTGTACACTTCAACGAAGGCACAATCACCGACTTCACCTCTATCGAATGACGACCGGTGACGATGATGCTCTGTACGTGTGAATAAGAGCTGAATTTTTTTTTTTGGTTGTCATCCTAACGATTACGTCACAGCGACGGGCAGCCACATATGCAGCAGTCAGGGAAATGGCTCGAGGAAACGAGAAATTTGTTGAATTTACAACTGCCTAGTCAGGCAGCTTTGTTCTATATAACCTAACGCCGCGTTTGAACGTAAAATTTGTTGAATGGACAACTGCCTAGTCAGGCAGCTTGTTTTCTGAAAATTGTTTCTGAAAGCTAGTTTTCTGAAAGGCAGCGACACTGTTTTCTGAAAATTGTCGCGTACGTGACCGATCAATTTGTTGGCTGATCTACACAACGCAAGCGCTGCTACACCATGCTAAAATGAAAATCGGCAGTGGTGGTTCCAATACTCCTTCTGGGTCGAGCAGCGCTTGCCTATAGCTTGCTCGATCGTATAGGAGCGAATAAGTGGTAACGTTTGCTGCCTTTTTATATAGATGGTTATAGTCAACACTGGAACCGCAATATATATTTCCGCGACAGGACGCTTCTGGAGGATCTTTTTCCGAAAAAAGTCTCGCGCACTGCTCTGGCTGTATGATAAGAATTGAATCCTAGTCTAATCCTTTCCAATTTTTTCCCCATTCTAATTCTTTCCCCTGCCTAGTGTTCAAAACCCGGCGTGTCGCTGAAATACTTTATCTATATATCGATATGTCTTCAATATCTATCGATATTCATATAGATGTATAGACAGATTTATATAATGAGTAGACAGATATACATGCGTTGTCTGAGTGGCTTCTATCTGCAAAATGGCTTTTTTTTATCTGGGTCTTTTTACAGTGCGAAGTCTTATGTCGCTGGTTGACCGGAGGGGGGGGGGGGGTGCTTATAGCAATCTTGATTCGCCTCCATAACTAAGGTATTAGGACCGTAGGCATTTTCCTCGCATCACTGTTCTGCGCCCAACTCTTCTGCAGTTGGCTAGGCATGCCAAGTAACGAACACCGCCCGCTTCCTGTCCCACTCGCCCCCGTTTTTTACTCTCGCATGTGATAGCGGCAGAGGTGTTCAAAACAGATTACATGGGTAGCATTGTAACTCGGCAAAGACGCGCAAAGGAGAACATGCATGTGGCTTCCTCGATTGACGAAGCCACTCATCTACGGCAAATAGAAAGACCAAACTTGGGTCATTCGGTTCAAATTTATAGTAATTACTACAAAAGATAAATATTGATAGATTCCAGGAGGTGATCCTGAAGTCACTGGCTGAAACGAAACCTTGTAAAAATAAAGATACATTTGTTGCAGCATAAACACGTAAGCGCTATAAAATTCAGCAAAAATTGGACTAAAAATAGCACACAAAGTAGCAAGAACGAGCTCAACAAGTACACAACGAACAAGATTACAAAGACACCTAAAAAATGGAGATTGTGAAAATATTTGTTTTTTCAAGAGCTTAGCAGTTTATTTTTGATGGTTAATAAATTACATAGTGATTTGGATGCTCTGCTTGGCACAATCAGTATTTACTATGAAGTTTATTTCAACACTCTTGAATGAAGGGCACCACGACTTCTGCATTGGCTGGACGACAGCTAATGATCTCCGCACAACGTGTTCGCCTCCACCTGGACGCAGTAACGTGCTCCTTCCGTAGTTTCGAAGTCCAGCCAGTTGTTGGACGTGCGATTCTCGACGCCACCGGTCAAGTCCAGCTCAGCGTCACAAGGCCGTTTCCTGAGGCATATCCTCACTCTAGTCACGAAGGGGGCCAGATCCCGGTCGATCTCCCGGGTCGATCTCATCTGCAGCCAGCTCCGTTATGCCAATATCCCGGCTATGGTCAAATTGTTCGGCGACTGGTACTGTACGGGGAAAAATTTCAGCAGTATGTTAATTCATGCGTAACTCTGAAAGTAGAGAAAGTGCTACGTATTTAGCGGTGCCTTAACTTGCACACACGCAGACCAAACTTGGTGAAACCCCTATGGAGCTGTTCCTCTCAATTGAAGCTTTGTGCGCTTCTGGATTGAACTAAACTCGATATCGGTTACTATTGACCGTGCTAAATGGGATGATGCCTGTCGTGACGCCATGATGAAGTCGCGGTATATGGCTATAATTTGTCACGTGATTATGACGCCGCTTCAGAACACGAAGTTAACAGTGAGGTAGGACAAGTGAGATCTCGTCCTACCTCAATCCTCCCCGTGTGTGGTTTTAGGAACCATTCAAAGAAAGCCATAAGGCTTTTGCCACAAAAATGAATGGGCAACGTTTACTGGATTGACAACAAATGAAGTCAGTGTTGCTGTTGTAACAGCAAATAGGCCCCGCTAGCGAACATTACCCAGCTGTAGGCAACATTTTTTTGCCTAGTTTCTAATGACTATGCACCTATTGTCAGTTAATTGTATTGGGGAAACACGGCCTTTTCATTTTCCTCTAACACTATCTGCCATTTTTCGTGGTGCTTTGGTAGGGTCTTGGACAACCAGTATTGGCAGAACAAAAGCCTTCAGAACAAGACCTCAATTTGTTAGAAGACTTCGATCCAGCCTGTAACTATTTACGCAAAACTAAAGTTTCGGCGCAGGGTGGTGCTACAGCTGCTTCGCATGCAGATGACTCCCACAGCGCATAAGATATCTGTTTTCCTGATTCAGCCAAGTAGTTTTAGTTTTTGTGATAGTCATTTAAGATCGAATAGAGTAATGATGCATTTAGCATGCAGAAACTGACCAAGACAAGAGTCCAACACATGCTCTTGTCATTTACTCAGAGGTTGAGCTGAAACACAGCATTGTCTGAAAATATGTATGTATTACGCGTGACATCACTGTATCTGACACTATTTGTTCCTGTATAATGAGGATCACGAGTCTAAAAAGAATGTTCTTGACCATCAGGAACATTGTGAACACTTGCACATAACAAGTAATGCTATCAAATGGTTAAATAGCTTACATTTTCTTGATTGTGTTAAATGCTGGCTGTTAGGTGGGTCTGGTATCAAGAAGTCCATCCAAAATGTCACTTGCACCAATCGTTAGCTGCCTTCGTTTGAAGAAACTCGCGGGCGCAAAGGTGAGTCATTGCATAGAACCATCCAGCCCTTGGGCACAGCAGTCAGTGAACTTGTTACACAAGAGAAGCCCTCCCTGGGTGCGAAAGTTCTGTCTTCCAGCACGCAAAAGTTAAGCTGGCCTATCTGCGTTAAATCAAGCAAATGTGATAGCAGTAATTTTGTTTGCTCTGTAATCACATTAGATAAGAGTGTGCTATAACAAATCGGCATAAAACAAAAGGATTTGCGGAAGTCTGAAAGAAATAGAAGTGAATCTTGCAGCAACATATCGGAGCAGAACACAGGGATACATCACTGTACCCCTTCACATGTCTAATAATAACAAACCAAGAGATAAACGGGCCTGCATGCATAGCAGCTATTAAAGCAAGTTCTGAAGCTTCACAGCTTCAGGCCCTGAGGATACTGTCTTACCAGCAGCATTTAATTGATTTGTTCCTCAACTCAGCAAAACAAGATTCAGCAGTATTGGAGACAATGTCATCTCTTCTTGACATGGAAAGCTAGTCTGACGTACCATGGTGTGGGTTATGCAAGTTAACAGGCATGCCTATTACCACGCTAATATTAAAAAGACCAGACAACTGCGGTAATTTATGATTCCAACACTAACAATACGCAGTGATCTGTTAAGCTAAGACACCTTTCAAGTCCATGGTCTACATACAGCGTTCAATGAAATACTATATACTCAGTTGCATCAGTTGTCTCAATTAAGTAGATTGACTTGTGAAAAGAGGGACGAGTTATTTGTATGATGTTTCTGCAGAGCGCCGTCTAATTTTTTGTAGTACAGTTAAACCTGGATATAACAAATTGATAAAATCTCAGGAATATTCACTATAAGGACGATTTAGTTATATACAGGTTTGGTACAAAAGTTCGGAAAATAAACGTGCAAATGAAAGAAGGGGGACTGAAGGCGGAGCTAACCTGAAACACTTACTTTACAGTAAAAAAAACTGCGTTATTGTGATAGCAAATATATAGACACTCTCGGCAGATTTTCACCGTCACCGCTGTGTTTCTTAACAAGTCCAGATTGATAACATGCCCCCGCGCATAGTAACTTTCACGAGCGGGTAAAAGGGCAAGAGCGCTCGCAGAGAACGAAAGAGTCGGCCCATCCCTATCGCCTGGAAAGTGCACAAGATAACATCTCCCGTGTGTTAAAACTGCCGTCACACGCATGAAACAACGCGGGGAGGGGGAAGGGGATCGCTCGAGTAGCAATAATGAACTTAGATTTTAAGGGCGGTCACGATCACTGGCGTGCTTGCTATCTCGGCGAGTATCGGTGCGGTTTCTACGCAAAAAGATGATGTGAAATAAGCACTTCACCCTGGAGCGGCCGTATTGGCTCACACCAGCGTTTTGTATAAGTTCCGCGATATCAGATCCATAATAGTTGGCTGCCAGTTTCACTTCTTATAACTGTTTTATGCTATCGCATTCAACGCGCTGTCGCGTTGCCAGAACTAATCGACTAATCCAAGCTACCAGCCTGCGAACTCGTGGCGCGGCGAAAGACGGAAGCGTAGGACGAGTCGACCTCCTAAGATCCGTCGTCACCGTGGTCTCGGCGAGTTTCCATCAGCGCCTAATCTGACAACCCCTCCGTGGTAACGACATGGTTTTCCGAAATTAAGTAAAGTCACAGTTTCTCCGCAAGGGCGAAGAAATGACAACTTGGAATGTAATGCTGAGAACGGCAAGCAGATCGAACCACACAGCGCGCTGCTCAAGCACAAATGACGCGCGAAAACAACATACACAAGACGAGAGCGAACAACGTTTACCGCTCGACACTTGACGCGCTGTATGAACGAAAACGACGCATTAAACGTAATCACAGGTACAGATATAAGTGCGAACTAAGTAAATGTACAGACAGACAGACAGACAGACAGACAGACAGACAGACAGACAGACAGACAGACGAAAATGTTTGCGTCGAAGGTCCCCAAAAAAGGCTCGTCTTTAAAATACCCCAGTTGTTACTTCACGGTTCATCATTTATAAGGGTATAGCGCACCATGACAAGGACACAAGAAGAGAGACGCACACACACAGCGCCAAGTCACTGTTTGAAAAGCGCACTCTTTTTGCAAACGGCGCCTGTCTGGGGAGGAAAGTGAGCTTTGTGCGCCTTGCAACTAAACGCAACCGTTCCGGCCAAGGTCGAAGGCGCGCGTTTCTCCCCGCCGAAAGATAAGCGCTGCGCCAAAGCATCAACCCCCCCCCCCCCTCCAGCTCAGCTGAGCAAATATCTCATTGGTCTTGCATGTATACTGCTCTAGATTAGGCATGCATGCCAGTCATATTTCCTCGTATTTCACATCAGAATTCACTGATTGAGTCTTCCAGTAGAGAATAGTCGTAGTTAGGATATAGTGCCAATCACTGAATAATGCTCTAATAAAGATGGAAGTAAAAAATCAATCACTGCGCGAAGCATGTAATTCATAAGTTTGTAGTGACCATACCCTGAAAATATTGATATTTACCTCATTTAAACCTTTTTACATGCGAAAAATATTTGGAGAAGCCTAGAATGATTAAGTGAATACCTACCTTACACAGGTGTTTTCGTTCGAGCACCCGGTGTTGAAATGCAATTTTATTTTTGTGTTTTGGTTCTTAGGCATCTTGATACGCTTGAAGATGATCAGTGCAGCCGTGTTGTTGAGTCGTCTTATTGGGCACCAATCCGACGATAATCGGCTGTCTAATGGGCAAAGTGCATGGTCGAATGCGAGACCAAGGCAGAGAGGGGCAATTAATGGCATCTTCTAAGTGCTTTTGTTTGTCCGGCATCCAGTGACAAATTGACAGGAAGGGAGAGCCATTTGGACGCACTGACACGAAATTGTCTTAATGGACAAACAAGTGGGCTGAAGCTGAAAGGAAGACAGACAGACGGACAGGCAGACATAGACAGAATGAACTCGGGAACTTGCAGACGTGCAGAACCACAGATAGAGAGAGACGTACACAGATGTACAGATGCACCGACCTAAAAACAGGCTGGAACATTAGACAGACAATATAGACAGAAGAATGGACACATGCACGAACGGGCATAAAGCAGACAGACGTATCGACGGAGCGTCAAACATGCACAGATGGTGGAACAGACGAGTGAACGGAGAGACATCCGCACAGATGAACGGGCAGAAAGACAGACGAGCAGACGGATGTACAGGAAGACAGACATACGGACTGATGGATGGGACACACAGATAGACAACAGAGAGAAAAGATTGACAAACACCAACTGAAACACAGAATGAGAGGTTGATCATGAGATGTACAGCCTGACTAGAGAGGTCTCGAGAGTCAAGCACTAGTCTACTGGCATCTACTTAGGCAGTGGTGATCTGTGCTATACCAGTGATTGTGTCCATCATTAAGAGCCAGTCAAGTGAGTCAGTTTCTTATTACCGACCAGTCGAGCAAGTCAGTCAGCAGGGCCAAAGAGATCACTGCATATCCACGAGGTGAATGACGAGTAAGGCGAAGCGGACGGATGCACGGATGGACGGGCGTACGGCGGACGCACAGACGCACGGATGGACGGACACGTGGCGAACGCACAGACGCACGGATGGACGGACGCGCAGACGGGCGGGCAAGCGGACGCACAGCGGATGCACGGACGGACGCGCGGATGCTTCGCCAGACTCATCATTTACTCCGCGGATATGCTGTGTAAACCACAAATGCCATCAAGTTATATTATTCCCAAGCACATATACAATGCCACCTAATGAGCAACTCAAACTGGAGGTGGCTACATACTACTCTTATAGAGAAGGAAACGACCCACGGCCCAAGGAGCTTCGCCCTAAAAGACAGAACGGTGGATAGGTGCAAAGACTGTCGAACGGATGGATAGAGAAACACAGACACCTAATAATAGACTGAAGTATAGAGGCATGGACGCAGATTGACGGTGAAAACAAAGGTTGAAGAGGTAAACAGTCATACAGAGAAACACACAAATGGACACAAGGATACACCGAAAAACCAGTTACTGAGAGACGAACCGATGGGCATGATAAAGACAGACGCATACAGATTGACAGTGAAAAGAACGAACGGAGAGATGAACAGAAAGACAGAAACAGAAATAGACCTATAGATACACAGAAAAGCCACATACGGAGAGAGGAACTGACGGGTAGTACAAATGTACAAACGCAAACAGATGGGCAGTGGAAAGAACACACAAAGAGATGGAGAGAGCGGTGCAGAGAAAGAAATGGAAAGACTGATAGTTAGAACAAAAACCAGTTACAATGAGACGGACTCACGGGCAGGATAGAGACACAGATGCACACAGACGAACAGAAACAACAGAGTATCGAACAGAGAAGGCCGAGTCATAACAGAAAAATGGAGACAGACGGAGGCCAAGACAAACGTAGACAGATAAACAAGAAAACAACAATAGACAGACATTTGCACGCAGTTAAATGCCGAGACAGACAAATTATTAACATAGAAGGATATACTAACAGACAGGGGCACATGAACGGACAGTCAGACTGACGAAAGACTACACAGGGACACAATGAAATGCTGGCAGACAAACGTATAGACTAAGGCATGCAGAGAAACGTGGACAGACAACGAAACAAACATGGAGAGATATACAGGCAGATAAATGGACAGGCGAATGCAGATAGTGAGAAATTCAGACAGACAGAATAACAGACCCCTAAGTAGAGAAAAAGGAAGCGCATGGACAACCAGAAGCTGCTTGCGAGAGATTTCATTGTTAAGGCTTTGATGGTACGGCCTTTCATGTCGCACCTTGACTTTCATATTGTAAGAGGACCTGCAAATACAATTAAACATAATTGATATATTGTGGGTACAGTGGACAGAAGTAACGGTCAAGTCAAGCTTATTGTAAAAGTTCTTTATAGAAGGCCTATAGAGCATAACCTTACATAAGCTCATTTTATACACAAAAACGATATTCTCTTCTCAAAAATATTTAGAGGAAAACCTACACTATATGCATATGTATTATTTGTTATCGGGGAACAATCAAAATCACAAACCTAATATTTGATATGACCTGCTGAAGTGCTACGCTACACTCCAACATTACTACATCGAAGTAAAGGCAATTTAAAATTAATTGAATCCATGAGACGAGAGACTCTCACCAACTAGTTTTTGAAACAGCTTATGTTTTTCACAAACCAGCATGGTTAACACTGTCCATTATTTTTTTTATGTTGAATCGTGAACACAATTTAGGCGTGAAGGCAAGCCAATGAAGTCTCCTACTATAAAGTGATAGCATTGCTTGAAACTGGCTCGGAAAAAGACTGAATACAAGCACCACAAATTGTTCAGCAGATTTCATTCTGGAGTTTCTTTCCGGCATTTATGTAATAAACATTACATATGCATGCCCAAATGTCTGCAAGCTGCAGTCTGGTGATATAACTGAGCTGACCACAGCTAGCAATCATAGCTCATCTTTGTACTGCAACACGCGCAACACCGAGGAACCAATGGAGCATTTGTGAAATTTTGCATTAACACATCGAGCCCTTTAGACGACTTGGGTGTAGGGCAAATGTGTTATTTGTCATTATTATCATCAGCCTGACTACGTCCGCTGAAGGGTGACAGCATCTTCCATGATCGGCCGATCAATGCGGTCTTGTGCTTTCTGCTGCCAAAGTGTACATGCGAATTTTGCACTCCCATCCGCCCAGCTAAACGTCCTCACCTTCCTGCATTTGCCTTCTTAGGAAATCCTATTTTTATTAGTAAATATACAGAAGATGTGCTCGAAAAACGTTCAGAATTGTCTTGTAGCACTGACCATTTATAGGAGCATTGTAGTTGGCACATTCGATAGCTTGTGCTCCGACATCCATGCCGAACACCGAGTACAGTTGAGAAGCCAGAGTCAGCCCAAATGTGCCTGCAAGATTATCCACATTGAATTCCAAGATTAAGAAGTACAAAAATACAAGTGCATTATGCAAAGCCTAATATGACACTGAAGGCTCCTCATACATAGAATGCCTTGAACCACCACGAGTGTTATTACAAGACATTCATAACAAGTTAGGTCGGGACGAGAGCACAAAGTCAGGACATCGCATTTGACCTGTTCGGCGTGCCTAGTTTTGCTATCATTATGAATAATGACTTAGTGGGCGCATCGTCATTTTACGGTTCTGCTATATTAGCCCTTTGCTGGTTCTATAATTTACAGCAAAAGATAGTATGAGGTCACACCACTGGTCACGCACACACCGTTGTCCACCGCGCATGACCAAATAGGCAATTCAGGCTCGGGCATAATTTTGCAGTGTTAAAACTACTACAGGGTTGTTACACATCACTATTGTTAGACTTGAATGAACAATAAAAAGATGAGTGCTACATAATATGTCCAATGAAGTCATTTAGCAGGCTAAGAGTTGTCAAATGAAGACGAATACAAGAACATTTTAATAAAACACCTGCATAGGATAGAGCCTCTTGACATCAACAGTGTGAAGGGTGTATGATCTTCCCTACGATTGAACAATGGCTTGGATAATGATATTTTACACCTTTTTGCTCCTTCTTTCAGTTCCAATTGTAAGTGCAAATCACAAAAATGTAATGCTAGTACCTTACATCAAAGAGTTATATTAGCGTTTTTGCCACATGGCAAATGTAAAATCTATATTTCTCACAGACACCTTCGATAGCATGCCAGCTGTTTAGTTAATGCAGAAGGTCCAGCCTATGGTCAAGCAAGTATTTTCTGATGCTAGGGCACGTATTGGTAATCAGTCTTCCGAACTTCAGCTAGTCAAATCTGGGATGAGCAAGTGCCTTTATCAGGCCTGCTTGCTACTTGCAAGTGCTTGTTTTCACATCTACCAATTATAAAACACGAGAATGCCACCTTCCAGCGTTCTTGCAACAGCAGACCAAAAAGCATACTTATCATAGAGCTCTTATACAAACATTTCTTACCTCTCCTATACGCACCGACATGAAGTAAAGATTCTTGATAGTTGAAAAGTCTATTGGCCTATACACCGGGTAATTTGCACAACAGCCTGGCTAGTCCCTTCTGTAATTTCGAAAGAGATAAAGCACACTTGGATGCTTGACCATTTTAAGAGTCAGATTACCTTGAATGAATGAACGAATCTGCACTACAGCAGAGTAGAGGAAATGGTCCTCGAACAAACTTACCTAGGTAGTGCTTGCACTAATGAAGAGGATGGCTCTCACAAGCAGAATATTCCCAGTGAAATGCCATTCGTGGTAAACAGTGCTTCAAGTGAGCTTGTTTAAAGGTTGGAGAGTAGTTACAGTCACTGCTTCCCAGCCATGCACAATTAACGCTTGCGCCGACCCCCAAAAATGTGGAGCTTTGAAGAGCTTCATCCCTAAATTTCAAATCGCATGTGTTGGCTTTCCTGCAGACAACATGGAGAGTACCTAAAAAGAATGTTCTATATAAGCACCACTAGAAAAACCTTACTATAGGTAATAATGCTATCAAATTGTCAACCTGCTCACATTTCCACGCGACTGGCAGATTATGGCTGGTAGCTGCATCCTCTGATGACCAGAATAGGCTTTGTTTAGGACTACTACCAAATATCTCACAAGCACTCTTTCTTTCTGCGTTCATTTTGATATACTGGCGCATGCAACGATGAAGCTATAGATTTTAGTATCATGTCTAGTCACTGCCTGGAGGTTGCTTCTGACGCATTACAATGTTTCTTCATTTGGGAGCCAAAGACACTTTTTTAAGGAGGCAAAAGTGAGTTTAACTGACTACCTGAAACCCAGTGATTGTGAAAGCAAAACATTTAGTTTTTTCCTCTGTTCACATAAGACAAAAATGTGCAGAAGAACTAAGAGCGTAAAGCTGAAATATTTTAAGAAGTCTTGAAAGGCAAATATTGTGACACTTTTTTAGGAATATATCCTAGAGCAGACAACAGAGTTCTTTAACTGCTCTTCTTGTGGTCTGTATAAAAAAGGAAGAAGAAATACTGTCTGGGAAACAGCCGCTAGTATTGCCTGCCATAGACAGTGCTAAAATGATATATAGATATGCTAGAAAAAGCTGGCAAAAGAAATTGCTATTGAGATATTCTAGCGAATTGAGATATGCTAGCAAAAAAAGTTGTGGTGAATTCATAGATATTGTACCCAGTACTTACTGAGCCATTTTTCAACAGTGCCTAAGTGATTTATATATGTTCTAGAGATATAAAGCTCGTGCAAAGTAATTATGCTCGTTTTATTTTGACGAAGTAAGATTTAGCACCGAAATTTTTTAATATGTTAACTTATGTTACACATATGCGAGGTCACTGAGAGTTTAAGCATAAAGTAGGCAAAGTCATTTTACTGTTCTAGATCCTGATTCGAAGTGTTACATCTTCTTTCAACTTTGCTATGCAGAAGTAATTGTCGTTGCGAAATAAATATCTATTTAGTTAGTGATGCGCACCTTCAACTTTTTAAAACAGCCATAAGTTTTTTTTCTCAACAAGTTGAAATATATAATGCTATTGTTATGTTAAAGCATCAATTCTTTTTGATCATAAAAACGAAGTTATTTTTAATGCAATGCCATGCAACTGCTTTAAAGCATTACATTTTGAAAACATGAATTTAATACAGCGTTGGTTCTCCGCTTTTTTGTAATAAACAGTACATCTGCACACGCCTGTGCCTTCAAGCTGAAGTCCAGTGTACTTAAAAAGACCGATCATTTCCACTAGAGATATGGACGTGAATGCACAGCTATGTGTATTCGATGTGATAAACTTATCTCTGCCTTAATGTAAGTACAAATGTTGCATAGGAATGATTTAACCGCCTTGTCTGTTTTTGTAATACATAGGTGTTCAATTTCGAATCTATAAATGCATTTAGCATGCAGGAACTGACCAAAAGAAGAGTAATATATACGTGTGTGATTTACTCAGAGGTGGGACTGAAAAAAAGCTTGGTCAGAAAATATGTAATTGATATGCGTGACATCTTCACTGAATCTGACACCATTTTTCTCTTCTCGTACAGTGAAGATCGTTAGTTGGTGAAAGGAATGTTGCAAACATTTGACCGTAACAAGTAATGCTATCAAATGAATAAATAGCTTACATTTACTTGGTATGTCTAGGATGCTGGTTGTGGGCTGGGTCTAAAATGAGGAAATCCGTCCAAAGTGTGCCTTTCACCGAATCTTGCCTTCCAGGAGGTACAGATGCATGCAGACTGATACTAAAAAAAAAAAGACTGACAGAGACATTCAGACAGACAAATGTACAGACAGATAGATACACAGGATACTCGTGGAGAGGCGGACTCACTCAGGATACCGGCACAGACTGAAGCGGACAGACTGTGAAAAGAACGGATGAAGAGAGACTCATATATACAGACAGACAAATGGACAGATACATACAGAGACAACCTATGTATAGAGAGAGGGGTTGACGAGTGGAAGCTGAGACAGGTAGACGGCCAGACCAATCGACAGGTAGAAAGACAGGTTCACAGATGCAACGAGAGAGACTGTCAGGAACAGTGGACGGACAATATGGACGCAAGCATAGACAGTGCAAATGCAGACAGGAAGAAGACTGACAGGCATGCAGACACTTATGGATAGACCGTCACACATACACAGATGGTCCAATGATCGTGTGGATGGACAGACATGTGCACCAATCAATGGGCAGACAGACATTTGGACGAGCAGATGGATGGGCAGCAAAACAGACTTACGGACAGATGGATGGCCAGACAGATAGATGAGAGCGAGACACCCTGACAATTTGACCCACAAAAAGGGAGATGGACAAAGAGGGTGGTTAATAAAGAGCCTAAAAAGTGAGTTCTCGCAGGTCAAGCACCAGCCTACTAATAATGTATCACTACAGGAGAATCCAGGCCCTGGCATTGTCTTAGGCAGTGGTTATCCGTGCGACACCAGTGATTGTGTCAATAAATAAAAACCAGTCAAGTGATTCAGTTTGTCAATACCAAACATTCGAGCAAGTTACACACTAATCAGGGCCAATGAAAATCTCAGCATATCCATAAGAGATGCCAAGCATATCGACCCACGGATGGACAGACGCAAGGAGGGATGCATGGACGGGCTCACTGCCAACCTGTGTGCGCAGATACGCTTCGCCCCTCTCATCATTCACTCCATATATATTTATTATTTATTTTATTTATTTGATTTATAATACCCTCAGGGCCAAAAGGGCATTAAAGAGTGGATTGTATAAATACATGAAAAACACAAATAAAACAATACAATAAAAGACAGATAATATTAAGATTTTTGCAGAACGTATAAAAATAGTTATTTCCAAATATACAAAAACAGAAGCAATAAGCATAGGTAACAGATTTTCTCGGTTATACAATGTTATCTAATGTTTTGTGAAAAAGTTTGAAGCTGGTGATTGTTGCAACATACGAGGGAAGGTGGTTCCGATCATGAGATGTGCAGGGGATAAATGACTGAAAGACCTGGTGTGACATGATGCGATTCCTACCTTATTGCGATGATCAACACGGTTTGAGATGTACAGAGGCTGGAGTATCAGGTCATTATGAAGTGTAGGGTGATAAAAAATTTTATGAAACAGCAAAAGACTGGCGATTTTTTGTCGGTGAGCCAAAAGCTTAAGTGAAAACCACTAACGCCATCTAGTTATAGTCCCAATGGCATATACAATGCCAATTATAGAGAGACAAACTGGAGGCGCCTACATGTTACTACTACAGAGGAGAGAACGACCCACAATTTAAGGAACATCAACCCTAAGGAAACATACTGACAGAGACAGGATGGTGGCGGGATGCAAAGACTCAAATGGAAAAGTAGAGAAACACAGACGCAAAAATAGACACAAGGATGGAGGAAGAGATGCAGACAAACTGATGGTAGCACTAACAGATGAAGAGAGACATACATAGAAACAGAAAAAAGGCCATATTGATAGATACACAAAAAACTCGTAAAGAGACTGATTGACAGATAGGCTAAAGACTGACGTATACAGACAGACAGTGAAAATAATGGGCGATTTGACGGGTAGAGCCATACATATCAACAGACAAATCAACAGAAAGATACACGGAATAGCCACGTACGGAGATATAGGTTCACGGGCAGGATAAAGACACACGCAGACAGACGGGCAGTGAAAATATTGCACAAAAATACAGGCAGAGAGACAGAGAGAGAGAGACAAATGGACAGATGGATAGATGCAAAGAAAACCCCCATACGAAGAGACGCACTAATGGGCAGAAGGCAAGACAGACAGACGGACGGACAGGCAGGCAGACATGCACAAAGATGAACGGAAGGAGAGTTGCACGTATGGGCGTGTCTATAGATGTTCAAACAGACAAGGCTGAATTATTGAAACAATTGAGAAAGACTGATGCACAGAAACTACGAAAATAGAGATGGATGCGCAGTTAAATAGAAAAAGAAATAAATGTAGACAGAAGAACAGATTTACCGAGGCAGATGAAAGGACATAGGCTGTCACAGACACAGATGAAAGTTTTCAGAAGGACACAATGAAATGCTGCCAGACCAACATACAGACCCAGGCAGACAAGCAATGAGACGATGAGGCAGAGAATTGTGGACATATATGTGGACAGTTCGGCAGACAAATGCAGATAGTGAGAAATTCATACAGACCGATGGGCAGAATAACAGACACCTAGGTGATTGTTTCTCTTTCCTGTATCCACATAAGACAAAAATGTGTCGAAGAACAAAGAGCATAAAGCTGAATGATTTCAAAAAGTCTTGGAGGGCAAATATTGTGACTTGATTTTTGAGGGAGATATCCTAGAGCAGACAACCGAGATGCATAACTGCTCTTTATGTGTGCTCTCTGTGTGGTCTGTCTATAAAAAAAAAGGAAGTAGAAATACTGACTGGGAAATAGCCGCTAGAATGATACATAAATATCCTAGCAATAGCTCACAACAGTGCGTTGAGTAATGAAAGCTGTACATACTGCGATTAAGCCTCCTCTTGGGGCAGTTTATCATGAAGGCATCGAAGTTTCTGCTTCTTGTACAACATGCATTCATGATATGTCTTATTTACCCTGCCAATGAAAATGCAGACAATACATGTTCGATGAGAATAGTGGCAAGAAATACTGGTCAATTCATAGTTATATGTACTCGGTAATTACCGAGCCATTTTTCACCAGTGCTTAAGTGATTTATACATGTTCTATAGAGGTCAACCTCACACAAAGTATTTACGCATGTTTTGTTTTGCTAAAGTAAAATTTAGCACTTTGAAACTTGTTAATAAGCAAACTCATGCTATCCATAAGAGAGATCCTTGAGAACGGAAGCATAATGTGGGCGAACTCCTTACCTTGCTGTTCCAGATCCTCATTTGAAGTGTTACGTCATCTTCTAACATCCCTCTGCAGAAGTAATTGTGGTAGCGATTTAAGAATCCATTTAGCAAGAGATATATACCTACTACATTTTGAAACAGCCTCAAGTTTTTTTCACAGCAGTTCATGTTGATTTACATGTGGGGTTTAACGGCCAAAAACCACCATATGATTCTGTGAGGCGCTGTAATGGAGGGCTCCGGAAATTTCGACCACCCGGGGTTCTTTAACCTGCACCCAAATCTGAGCACACGAGAACAGTTCATGTTGAGATATTATAACACTATTGTTATGTTGAGCATCGATTGATTTTGATCCTAAAAGCAATGAATTCATTTTTATCACAATGCCAAGCAACTGCTTCAAAGCGTCACATTTTGAAAGTACATGAATTTATTGCAGCGTTAGCTTTCCGCTTTGATGTAGTGAACAGTACATTTGCACACGCCCGAGCCTACAAGCTGAAGTCCAGCGTAGGTAAATGAACCGAACACTGCGATAAAAGATAGAGGCGTGAACGCAGCGCTATGTGTATTCGATGCGATAAAACCCATCTCTGCCCTAATGTAAGTACGAACATTACACAAGTCCATGATTTAACTGCCTTTACGGACGCCAGTCAGGCAGACATCCCCAACGAGGTGATATAAGGTGCACGAGAACCCAATTCATCAAAACATTGATTGCCCTGCAACAATTCGCACAAAACTTAATTTTGACATAGGCCAGTACTACAGCTGCTCCGCATAAAGTTGACTCCCACACAGCACATGGGAACAGTTCTCTAGATTCAGCAGATTTGTCTTCCTTTTCGTGATAGTTGGGCATTGAAGGTGTTCAAGTTCGAATATAGAAATGATGCATTTGGCATGCAGGAACTGACCAAGAGAGGAATCAATCATATGCTCATGTTAATCAGAGATGGGGCTGAAACAAAGAGTGGTCAGAAAATATGTATGCGATATGCGGGACATCTTCACTGGATCTTACACTATATTTCTTTTCCCATATAGCGAGGATCACGAGTCTCTGAAACGAGTTGACTATAAGGAACATTGCTAACACTTGACCATAACAAGTAATGTTAAATGAATAAATGGCTTACATTTCCTTGATAGTCTTGGCTGCTGGCTGTTAGCTGGGTCTCGAATCAAGGAATCGGTTCAAAATGTCACTAGCACAAAGTATTTTCTTCCTTCGTAGAGGTACAGACACAAGCAGACGGACGCAGAAAAAAAGAGAAGGAAAGAGACATACAGACAGAAATGTACAGACGGATAGATACACAAGAAACTCGCTTACGGATAGGCGGACTGACAGGCAGCATAGAGGCAGACTAGCAGACCGACGGTGAAAATAACAGACAATTAGACAGACTTACATACAGACAGACAAACCAACAGAAGAATGGATACACAGACAACCCACGTATAGAGAGATGGGTTGATGGGCAGAAGGTGAGACAGGTACTTGGATGGACAGAAAGAAAGACAGATTTACAGATGCAAGGAGAGAAACTTACTGAGCAACGGACAGATTATACCGACGGTAGAACGGACATTGCAAGGACAGGCAGAAAGTTGACAAACAGACAGACATGTAGACATGTATGATTGGACCGTAACACACACTGATGGTCGAACGGTCGTGTGGGCAGAGAGACACGTGCACAGATGAACGGGTAGGAAGACATTCTGCAGGTAGATGGATGGAAAAGGTGACTTACGGACAGATCGATGAATGGACTGGTCAACGAGAGCAAGATACCCTGACAAAAAGACCCACAAGAACGGAGGCAGACAAACAGGGCAATTAGGAAACACAGCCTAACAAGTGAGCTCTCGCAGGTCAAGCACCAGCCTACTATTAAAGTAGCAGTACACCAGAATTCGGGCCCTGGCATTTTCTTAGGCAGTGGTTATCTGTGCTACACGAGTGATTGTGTCAATAATTATGAGCCAACCAAGTGATTCAGTTCCTCATTACCAAAATTTCGAGCAATTCACGCAAGTCATCAGGGCAAATAAAGATCCAAGCATATTCACGAGGAAAATGAGGAGTGAGGCCAAGCGGATGAATTCACGCGCTGATGGCGGTCGGGCACGCGGCGGTCGGTTTCTCGCTTCGCCCCACTCATCATCATTCACCCCATGGATATGCTGTGAAAGCCACTAATGTGATCTGATTGAATTATTCCCAACGGCATACACAACGCTAGCTATTGTGCTACTCAAACATGTGGTTTCGTACTACTACTACAGAGGAGATGACCTATGGCGTAAAGAGCTTCGCCCTTAATATACAGACAGTCAGATTGAGACAGAGTGGTGAATGGATGGAAAGGTGGTGGAACGATGGATAGAGAAACATATGCAAACAGACACAAGGCTAGAGAAACAGTCGCAGACAGGTGGATGGTACCAAGAACGGATGAAGAGAAACATACACGGAAATAGACAAATGGCTAGACTTGCAGACACACAGAAAACCCACTTTTGGAGCTGCACACTCGCTGACAGGATAAGGACAGACGCATACAGCGAAGAGGCAGATAGAGACGCATACACACAGACAGACAAACTAACAGATGGATAAGTACACGAAAAACCAACGTACGAAGAGACGCACTAATGGGCAGGAGGCAAGACAGACAGACAGATGGACAGACACATGCATACACCTGGACGGAAGGAGAGGTGCACGTATGGGCGAAGCAACAGATACTCGAACTGACAATGCTGAATTGTAACAAAACTCTAGACAGACTGATCCAAATGAACAACAGAAAGGGAGATGTGTTCACAGTTAAATGCAGAGACGAACAAATTTTATATGTAGACAGAATGACAGACTTACAGACAGACGCAGATGAATGGACATTCGCAGTCAGGGACACAGATGAAAGAAGAGGGACACTGTGAGACGCTGTCAGAAGGACATACAGAATGAGGCAGACAGAAATGCATACAGACAATGAGGCAGACAAACGTGGAAAGATATGCAGACAGACAGTAATAGACAAATGCAGATAGTAACAAATTCAGACAGACCGATGGGCAAAATAACACTCCTAAAGAGAGAAAGGAGCACAATAAGAGTGACAGCCTGATAAAGAGACCCAGTGGACAGAGACGCTGCTTATGAGGCATTTCATAGTAGAGGGTTCGATAGTATGGCCGTTCATGTCCCACCTTGACTTTCATAATGACTTAGAGGACCTGAAAATAGAATTACCCAAAATTGATATAATACGAGTACAGTGGACAGAAATAACAGCGAAATCACACTTATTGTAGACACTTTTTTCTAGACACTGCTGCTAACTTTTTTATAGAAGGCGTATAGAGCGTAACCTTACATGAGGTGGTATTTGCTCAAGGGGGAAATCCTGTTAAAAATATTTTAAGGAAAACCTTTTCTATAGATATATGTATATGTATTATTTTGATAATAAGTACGACTTGAAATCATGAACCTAATACTCGATATGACCTGCTGAAGTGATACGCTATTCTCTGACATTACTACATTCAAGTAAAGATACATTAACATTAACTGATTCCATCAGGCCAGAGACAACTACTAGCTTTTGAAACTGCCCATTTTTTGCATAATTCTACATGATAAATGCTCTACAATATTTTTTTATTGAGTCAATAATACAAACTAAGCCTGAAAGCAAGCTAACAAACACTCCTACTATGATGATATTCTATTGCTTTAAACTGGCTCGGAGAAAGACCGAATACAAGCACCAATATTGTTCATAAGATTTCATTCTAGGGTTTTTGTTTTTGCTTCTAGGTAATAAACATTGCATATACATGCTGATAAGTCTGCAAACTGCAGTCGAGTGGTATAAACAAGCTGACAACATCCGAAAATCAGTCTATTTTTGCACCGCAACACACTCGGCCCTGAGGAATCAACGGAGCATTTGTGAGAATTGTGCATTTACATATCCAGTCCTTTAGGCAATTTGGGTGTATGGCGAACGTGCTGTTTATCATCATCCTCATCAGCCTGACTAAATCCACTGCAGGGTGAAAGCTTCTTGCATGATCCGCCAATCAACCCGGTCTTGTGCTTTGTGGCGCCACGATGTATATGAATTTTTTTATATAATTGGCCCACCTAACTTTATCTGTTTCCTGCGATTACCTTCTTCATAAACCCTATTTTCCGTTGTAAAAGGACAAACAAGTCACTTGACAAGCGTTCAGAGTACTCCTATAGCACTGACCATTCATTGGAGCGTTGTAGCTGGCGTGATTCGTAGCTTGGGCGCAGACATTCATGCCGAACACTTTAGTACAGTTGAGAAGCCAGCGTCAGCCCAATTGTACCTGCAGGTTTAGCAACATTGAATATCAAGATTAGGAAGCACAAAAATAAAGAAAGTGCATTACACAGAGAGTACTCTGAAACTGGAGGCTTCTCCTTGTGATGCGGGTTCTTGTTGCTGATTTGTTTCTCCCGGGCTGAGCCTCAGAGAGTTTTGTTAATAAGGACAAAGCCGTTCGGTTTCCAAGAAACACACAAAAAGTTTAATTGAAAAGAAAAAAAGGCAAAGATTCCTCACAAAACAAAACACTTAATAAACAGTTGACTGGACATGACGAAACACATCTGTAAACACCCAACAAAAACGTTCAAAGTCAGTAACTAAACCAAACGTTCGAAAGGGGCTGAGTGATGGGAGTAGCGCAAGATATCTGTTCGGTCTCACCCACACGCTGAATTCCGCCGACGATGAGCAAACCGGAACGCGGTGATTCCGGCTTCAGGACGCGGGCAGGACGGGGATGAAGGAACGCTGGCTGCTGACGACACGTCGAGAAACCAGGCCGGAACGTGGTGGCTCTGGCTTTAGGAGTGTGGACCCGTCTGTGACGAGAGAACGCAGGCTGGTGGTGACGCGTCAGAGAACCAGGGTCGACCTAGTCAAGCAGCTGGGCGCACAGCTCGGGCCCGGAGCCCGACGGCTGTAGCTCGCCTGCCGGAACCAAAGTCCGCAGGCCCTGGAAAGGAGTTCAGGACCGGATGGCCACGGTCCTTTGGAGCGGGAACACGACGGCAGGAGGCCCCGGCCGGTTGAAGACCTGCAGGCTCGGGTCCTACGCCCGACGGCCCATCTTCAGCGCCCGGTCTGGTGACGACCTTCCGCTTGCCCCGTCTTCTTCGAACTCCCCTTGCTCTGGTCTGCTCAGGCTCCTGCTTCAGCTCTGGCCCACTTGTCTCGTTCTCATTGGAGATACTGCTGTCCTCGTGGTGTCAAGCCATTGGGCCTTGAAATCTCCGTGTTCGCTGCCCATTGGATGTTTTACCTTTTGTTTACTTCACGTCCTGCCACGCATCCTCGTGCTCGACGCTCTTTAACGTCGTCATTCTTGTTTAAGCAGCACCGCACGTGCACTCTGGTATTTCTCCTTTTGTTTTTTTTTTTTTCCCGTGACGCGCACTTTTCGAAGGCGCGCACTTTGAACGCGCACCACACATCACATACGCCCCCCTTTCATTCAAGTTTTTTTTTTTTAGAAAAAAAAAAAACTGCCGATGAGTGCGCGTTCTGCACTACGTCACAATTACACCACATATTTGCACCACGCAGTTCAACACATCACACCGATGGCACCACACTGCTTCTTCGTTGACATGTCTCACGTCGAAACACCGAGTCCACAGAACGTAACATTCAACCAACAACAATAGAAAAGTTTTTTTTTTTTTTTCGAGAAGAAAAAAAAAAACTGCCGTTGAGTGCACGTTTCGCACTGCACCACAATTTACCCACATATGTCCGCCACACAGTTCACTGCATTGCCCAAAGGTCCACATTCACTAACCTCAAAATACGCAAGAAGTGAGAAAAAGTATGGACACATCTAGCGGATTGTGAAAATCCCCAAATTAGTATTACACCACCCCTTTTTTTTTTTTTATCATATATACCCTATCATCTCAAAAACTATACATCATGTTAATGTTACATTGCATGTAACTTCTTCAAATATTTACAAGCAACACCCTTCCATGGTCCGCAAGCAAGATCCAAAAGAAACCAGCGGGAATCGAATTTGACGCTTAAGTTATAGCGTCCCATACAAGACGTTTAACTGCTCTAACCATTT